CCATTCTGGTATTAGTTGAGCTTCAAGCTCCTTTGAGAACTTCACCATTGTTTTTCTTCTACCTCTTCTCTTATTGTATCTTCTTCTTCTTTCTATAAGGAGAAAACCAAAAGTTGATGGAGGTGGGGAGTGGAAGAAAGAAAAGGAAACGAGAGAGAGCTTAGCGGGGTTTGGGAGGGATTAGTGAGGTTTATATATAGAGAAAAAGAGAGAGAAAAAGAGAAAGAAAGAGAGAGAGAGAGCCGTGTGGAGAAGTGCAGAGTTTGCTTGTTGTTAATGGAAATTAAAATCCTTTTTCTTACATAATACTTACACTATCAACAAAAAGGAGAAAAAAATGAAAGGAGATAGTACTAATGATAGAAATATATAATTGAAAATTTGGGTTTATAGAATTATCTTTTAGTGGCTAGCTGATTTTATGGGGTTATATCTTGAATGTTAATGTAATTGTATGAAAACCTGGGTTATGACCTGTGAACATAAGCAGGAAAAAAGCAAGGAAGACAGAAACTCCCCCACCCCCACAAAGTTTACAGACAGAAATTGGTTTTCTAGTCTCAAAAAGTAAAAAGAAAATTTCGGCATATTAAACACATATAAGAAAAAAGAAAAAGATTTTGTGGAGCACATTGTTTGTTGAAGAATTTAATAATGGACAGTGTTGAGATTGGGTAAAATCTCAGAATTACAATGGACATAGGTCAACATTGATGACACTGGCCATCTAGTTGCCACTAAGTTTTGTTTCTGTCATTCAAAACCTTTTTTATAGTCTCAACACATAATATTGTAATTTGCACAATTATATAATTTATATTTTATTTTAACATAATGTGGAATGTAAGAGAAAGAACTACACATTTCGATAGTTTACTTGTCAGATGATCACACAGGGACAACCTGTGCAAGTCATGCACCTTATAGCCTCGTAATAAAGGGCAACGCACAAGATAATAGCACATCAGTGGACCTCGACAAGGAGGCCTATATCATAAAAGACCTAGGACTCTTACGAAGTTAAAAGGCAATAGAGTCAAATTGTTCAAGTAATTAATTCAAACATTCAAGTTATTTGCTTAGGATCTTAGTTATTTGTTTTCTCTTTAGAATAATATAATTGTTTTTTCTCAAATTCTCTTTCTTCAAGTTTCAATTTCGCATTATTGAACAAATATTTAAAGATAGGCTTGCTTAGTACATAAGTCTAAGCACTGTACAGATCTTGACTAAAATTCCAAGCCAGTGACAAGTGGTATTAGAGCTAGACGGGGCTTGAGTGGTATTAAAACTAGATTAGGTAAAACAAGCCTCATTTTTTGAAGGGCAAGATAGTATCAAAGTTAGGTATTTTCAGAAGGAAGCTGGGTTAGTTAAGCTCAACTTTGTCTATAAAGCTAAGGTTGGCTAAGCCAACAATAAATTTAAAAAAGTCTCAAATTTTCAGATAAGTAGGTTTTAGAGTAAGATTCAGCAACTCTGAGGGTTAAGGAAAAGTAGAAATTTAATCCAAATAGAATCGTGAAATTTGAGAAAAAAAAGGAAAAGAATGGAAAGGAGAATAGCATCAAATAGTGACCAAATCACAATCTACTTGAACGCCTTAGTTCAAGATAGTGCGAACATTACAAACATGAAAATTGCAAGATAGTGCGAACATTACAAACATGAAAATTGCAAGCGCACATGTCGCAGAACATTACGAGTCTAAAGACATCTTGTAAGCACTGGATAACCATATATTTTGCCTTAAGATAAATATCAACAGAAAGATATGGAGTAACCTCGAATACTTCAAGGACAACATCGAGCAGTTGGGGTCTAAGAGCAATGAGCTTTACAAAGGATGACACAACACGATAGATTCATTAATTCGCCATGATGTAGGGCTAGATGAATTGATGGTAGTAATGTAGCAATAATAATAATTGACAAAGGTTTTTAGAGGTCTCTAACAGAGGATGATGTATTTAGTTAACAAATATTAAGAAGCTGCAAAATGTGACTTCTAGATTAGGCAATTTGACCAACAGAGCTTTGGTACTGGATTGACAATCGAGGTGTCAAGTTCAAACCCTTTGTGTCCTATCTGCGTTGCAAACAAAAATACCATGCACATAAAAGTTGTACATTTAAACTTTACACAGGCGCACCAAAAAGGATTCACAAGCCAACTATGAGCTAAACATTCGCATGAGAGGACACATCTTAACTTATAAGTGTTCCTGAAATAGCTAATAAGGAACTACTTCAATCGAGCCCACGAGTATCATGGGGAACTCGCTAAAGACTTGTGGCTGAGAGAAGCGACAAGGCGATGAAGGCATTGTCTATATCAAGTGGGAGAGAATGTCACAATCCACAAAACTATGACACACCCAACCCATTGGGATAGTCGGGTTAGCCGCACATTGTAATGCCACACAACCCCAAAATGACCATGCGAGTCAAAAGATGACATGGCTAAAAGGCTCATCTATTATGCTTGTTGAGTCATGGGCAATCGGGGGTTTCCAAACATCCTCAATATCCAAGTTGTCTAGCAACACCAACCCCTTGGGGATCAACAAGCTTGACCCACCAGCACAACGCGTCAAGCCCACGCACGAGCAGTAAAAGCGTAAGAAGATTGCACGACATAAGGATGCAACAACATGTAAGAAGTATGGGAGGGTCGCACACTTCGATAGCTCGCTCCCTGGATGATCATGCTGAGATAGCTCATGCAAATCGCACACCTCATGGCCCCATGATATGGGGCAGTGCATAAGATAATAACACGCCAATGGACTTCAACAGGGAGGCTCGCATTGTTGAAGACCTCTCATGCACAAGTTGCAATCAGAAAGCCTTGTGCATGAATGTCGCATAGCTGAGGGTCACAAGCCTCTTGAACGCACACCATCAAGGGTTAGAAATGCTGCACCAAGAAGTTGAACAAAAATTTAGGCCAGACACAAAAATGCCATTCAGACCAAGCCAACTTAAGAAAATGCACACTAGCCGCCCAACTACATAGGAAGTTTGCATGAAGAGCCCAAGTTCAAGTTTGACTACTCCCATAGTGTAGTTTTAGTAGAGTTAGAATTCTCTTTTATTTATTTTACTTGCAGTAAGACTTTAGGCTAATTATATTCTATTTAAGAATAAAACCCTACTTTATTTAAATCACTTGTTAACTACTTGTACTAAACAATTAGAAGCAAAGTTTAATTAGGCTTAAGGAAAAATTATATTATAAATAGCAAGTCAAAAGGTAATAAAGTCAAATTGCCCAAGTAGTCAATTCAAGCATTCAAGTTATTTTCTTAGGATTTTAAGTATTTTGTTTCTTTTTGGAATAATAGTATTATTTTTTCTTAAATTCTCTTTCTTCAAGTTTCATTTTCATATTATTGTGCAAATACTTAGGGTAGGTTTGCTTAATTTTCTTGCACGAGTTTAATATACAAGTTTAAGCGTCACAGGATCTTGATTAAAGTTTCAAGCTTGTAACAATTTGCTTGTTGTTAATGGAAATTAAAATCCTTTTTCTTACGTAATATTTGTACGATCAAAAAAAAGGACAAAAAACCGAAAAGAGATAGTACTAATAATAGAAATATATAATTGAAAATTTGTGTTTATAGAGTTATCTTTTAGTGGCTAGCTGATTTTATGGAGTTACTTCTTGAATGTTAATGTAATTGTATGAAACCTTGGGTTATGACCTGTGAAGATAAGCGCGAAAAAAGCAAGGAAGAAAGAAACTCCCCCAAATATAAGAATTTAATAATGGATAGTGTATTTAAGTATTTGGTTCATCAATTAATATATAATTTCTTGTTTTAAAAAAAATTCAAATATTCTTTCCTCAAATTTAAAAAAAAATTAATAATGAACATTGTTAAAATTGAATAAAATCTCAAAATTACAATGGACATAGGTCAACATTGATGAACCTGGATATCTAGCTGCCACTAAGCTTCGTTCTCGTTATTCAAAACCTTTTTTATAGTCTCAACACACAATATTGTAATTTGCACAACTATTATTTTAACATAATGTGGAATGCAAGAGAAAGGAGAGATAATTACCTTTATCCATATGATTCAACCAATGGAAAGTGCATGGTTTTTTTTTTTTTTTTGGTTTCTTGGGGAGGTAATTTTAAGCATACTACTGCAGAATGTGAATAACCAAAGTGTATAATGCAAATTGGACTTATGCCCATTTTAATGAGATTAAAATTTAATTAATGGGCACATTTATAGCTGAAAAATTGGAGATAATCCTGAGAAAACGACATAACCAGGTGGGACTGCTAGGTCCTTCTACACAAAAAGAAGTGTTACGTCCAAGGGCCTATGCTTCTAAGCCTGAACAATATTTTCCGTTTCATTAATTCTGCATTTAATACACAATTCTCTACGAATCTCGAATCATTAATTATTTCAAATTATGCTATATTGCATAACTATGATGTAAGCTTTTCATAAATATAACATATATAAATAATTTGTAATTGATTTACAAATGCAGGATTAAAATAAGAATTTTGTTAGCAAGTTACTATTGTAGAACATTTACTCCTTATGTTTTAAAATTTATCATATTAATTATCAATTATTATATTTAAAATTAAAATATTACTATGGTGCCACTGTAATCTTGAATGCCTTTGAGTTTTTTTATCAATATCGATATTAAGATGTAACTGTAATATCAATTTGAATCTATAATAAGTTTGTTTATGACAGTAAACTCGAATAGACATTCATATTACTATTAATAATTAATCATTTATTTTATTTTTAAAAAAAAATAAAAAAAATCCTTAGGATTTATATATTTGTATGAGATGCAAGGGATTTTGCTTCTAACGAAAACAAATCCAAAT